CTGCTCCATGAGAAGCCTCAATTCATAATTTGGATCTGGCTGTGGAGTGTAGCATGGCTCTGCAGAATGGCCCGTGAAGGCCGCCATGGGTAACTCCAGCTCCAATGGCCCTCTGGTTGTGGGAGGAAATTCTTCTCGATAAGGAGGTTGTTCTTGATATGCCCAGGGGTCTGATTGTTCTCCGTAGAAAGGGGGTTGGTACTGGAACCCGGATCCATAGTCTTCTCCTCCTTGATTGCTCCAGGGGGTCTCGGGGTAATACCACTCGGACGGTGGTGGATACCCCCAATGATTGGAGAAGCCATGAGGATCCATGATTCAGATCTGCACCAACAAAAACAAAAACACCCAAGTGAAAAGCAAGGGTGGAAAAGAAAAGAAAAACGCTAAAGTAACAAACTTCTGCCTTTCCTAATACTCTAGAAAGTCCCCGGCAACGGCGCCAAAAACTTGACTCGCTATGACACAACTCCTAACAGTGGCCAAGTGTAACCAATGAAAGGGACTGCAGTATAGTGGCTCAAGTAATAAATATCGAATCCACGGGTCTCTAGAGTTACTATTACTCAGCTTTAGTTCATTATCTAGCAAACCAGATTAAGATGAAAGAACTAAAACTACTCTAGCAAACTACAGTTAAGGTTAATCTAATTACAGGTTGGGAACTCACTTAGGTATGATTCCCCCTAGCCACTAGCCAGAATAATGATTGATGATCTCTTACCTGTTTCACTTTCATTCACAATGCGGAGAATCCTTAACTAGACCTTGAGTCTCGACTAAAGGAACAAGGCCCTCTTGAGTCAATTGCCTAGAGGGACGTATCCTTCTCTAGAACAACTGATCAAGGCGTTCTGAACTAGATTCCCTCTATCGAATGAGGTTCTCAATCTATACAAAGCATTGAATCAACCCTCGACTAAAGCAATCGATCCAATACTATCAATCTATGGTGCTCTATTGACCTAATCAGGTATTCGCTCTCATAGGATCAAAGCAGAATCAATAATCTCGACTAAAGCAGAATTGAATCATGAAAACATGCATAGATTGAATATGAACTCAAGATTATCAAGTCAGAGTACTCATACAATCATCCAATCAAACAAACATAGCTAGGGTTCCTCAAAACCTAAGTGAAGGGAAGTTACTCCATAGAGAAGAGAGAGACTGCAGAAATCTGATCTAGATCTTCAATCTCCATCTCCAAGCTTGATTCCCGAGCTCCAATGGCGAAGAAATCCTCCAAAATAGCTCCAAGAATGTTCCCAAGTCGCTCTCTCTCTCTAGGGTTCGTCCCTTGGGTGTTTGGGATCCAAAACCCAGCTCTCTCTTCTTTTGGCTCGGATTAGGCTTAAAAACAGGCTTCCCCGAGTTGCACGGCCAGGTGCACGGCCGTGCACCACTCCATTCTGGCCGTGCACCCTCAAAACGCACCGTTTCACTTAGTTCAGCCTTCAACCATCTTGCACGGCCGTGCAAGGCTGGATTTTGCCCGTGCAAGGCCTCGGCAGAGAGCGCACGGCCAGAATTATATGTTGCACGGCCGTGCGCCTCCCTGGTCTGCCCGTGCAGCTTGCTCATCCTCTGTTTAATGCTTCGTTTCTCCCTCGTCCGGACTCCGAATCAGTCGCCGTTTGATCCCAGACGCTCGTAGTCTCGTCCTCTTTCTTTTCATGACAAGCTTGCATGATTCTTTGTCCATAAAGTGAGGTAGAAATCCATTCTTCTTCAGGTCATGGCCGAGTTTCTACTCCCGAATCGTCAATTGATCTCTGATTGACTTGAAACTTGCGCCTATGCTTCACTTTATGTGCTAGGACCTGAAATGTGACAAAGGAACACAACCTAGCGTAAAATAGGCCAAAGACACGGTAATTCAAGCTCAAACAATCAAGAAACAAAAGGGGAAAACATGTGCAAATGACGGTCTATCAAAAGCAAAAACATACAAATAAAAGTTACTAAAGGTTTCCACTTTTAATGAATCTATTATTCTCCATTCTCTCGATTATAGTGTTTTAATAAACTAAAAAATTCTCACATAAAACTTATTAGGTGCGTATTTGATTTTAGTGGCTACTTTAATTTCTTTTTTGTTTTTTTACGAAAGTGGCTTTAATTTTTAGTCTCCCACTTTTCACATACTATTATATTATAAATGTAATTCAATAAATAAATATAATTAGTGTGGTTATTGTGGGTTAACCACCGTGGGTAGTGGGTAACCACAAAAATCATTATTTTACTATCCACACTCCCACTACCCACAACTTGTGGGTATGATTACCCATAATGAGTGCGGGTTGGTGAGGCTTGCAGGTTATCCACAACTAGGGCTGTTAATGAGCCGATCTATTCATGAGCGGCTCGGCCTCGAACCCGATAAAAGCTCATTCGATTAAAAAAGTTTGGCTCGTTAATAAACGAGCCGAGTTTGATCTCTACTTTGTTCGGCTCGTGAAGCTCATGAACTAGCTCGATTAGGTGACTCGTTAATACAACTCATGAACTGTCTCGTTTTGAGCCTATGAAATGTCCCAACATAGTGACTAGAGAGCAAACTCGACTACGGGTTATGATAAAATCAATCTATATTTTATGAGTTGGTTTGTTAATGATGCATATAATTATTAAATTGTATATATCACCTCATATGATGATTAATACATTGAGTATATGTAAGCAAATACGTCTCATATATGACATAAAATTAGGAAATCACATGTATCACATATGACATATAAATATTAGAGTATTTATATTATAAATTATCTTAGAGTTGAGCTCGAGCCGAACTTTCGATCTTAATGATGTGTCAAGATTTAATATATGAGCTGGCTCGTGTTCGACTCGACTCGCCTCATTTATAAACGAGCCAAACATGAACAAGACAAAACTCGGCTCGGCTCATTAACAGCCATATCCACAACCCACAACCCAAACTTCCACCCCCTAACTCTATGTAGTTTTCTTGTTGTTTTCAAAGCTATTTCTTGTCTGAACCTCCCAATTGTGGAATAATTTCATTAATTAATGAGAGTCGATGACCAAATTTCACTAGACCCGCTTTCTAGATATTTTATTCCCCTCTCTGTTTCCATTAAACTCATCCTTGAAACACAATTGTCAATATTATTTCATATATATTTTCCTCTTAATTTTCTCATAACTCATCATTTCGAAATAACATGGGGTATGAGTTATTTCAAATAACTCGTTTTGAGTTATTTGTAAATTAACTCACTGACCAAATAACTCATTTTAGTAAAATGCTGCCAAAAATAGTTATTTGTGTCCAAATAACTCATTGTGAGTTATTTGAACCTAAATAACGTAACTCACAAATAACCTATACAAATACTCCTAAACGCGACCCCTAAGTCTAAACGTGTTTCTATTTCTAGGTGTCCACAATTTATCAGAATTATCCACTAAATATGATTTATGTTTTCTAGTTTCATAATGTTGTAATTGTATGTGTTGTCACAACTCTACCGCTACCGCAACCACAACAATAAACCATACTAGCCATTAGTATTACATCAATAACTATGATTGAGTGTTTTAGTGGGGTTTTGGTTTAGTCAGAGAGGGCATCTTCACAAAGGTAGTAATTAAATTGACTGGAAAGTGCTTTGACAGCCTTATTATTCACATTGTTGGAAGGTTGGAGTGGAGATGCATTATGAGTCTCTCCAAATCTCTACCTCCTATTATTATTACTAGTATTGTAGCCCGTGCTTCGCAACGGGTACCCTTACGTCAATACGTTGGAGGTTTCAATATTTTACACCATAGTCATTCTTAGTATAATGAAACCAAGGAATCACACCCCAGAGAGTTATTAACATTAATATTATGGATAATCAAAGTACTTAAAGCAAAATAACAATTATGTTAGCGTTAGATTTGCTTTAATTACAATTATGTTAGCGTTAGATGTCCAAAAGGTAGTGTTGCTACTTGCTGGTTTAAGGGAAAGATATGTATAAGGTTATAGTACGTACATAAGGAAACAACAAAATTGTTGTAGACAGACATGCACTTGAAAGTTGAAACTAAGGACTAAGGAGGCAAAACCTGGCCCTCAGGCCTAAGTCGCCATATCCTTCAATTGTTGGATACTTTCAGCTGATCTGCATTTGGATTGAGAGAATAAGGCCATTACTATAAGTAAATCAAACCCATACATGCATTACTATAAGCATATTTTCATATTCAATCATAGAATTTTCCATCCTAGAACTAATAATCTCTCAATTACAAAGAAAATCGAGAGCATAGCTTTCCCACTCCTGTTCTCCTAGTAAAGTTTGCCCACAGAAGAAGTAACATACGTTGAATCACTAATATGCAATCAAAGAACAATATCTCCTATAAATGAAGATAATGTCCAAAACTATTCTGACCTATTATAACAGTGGCGACTATCATAATTATGCAGTTTAATCGAGTTACTGCATAAATTTTTGAACTAAAAATTTGTACTACTTTACCCAAAAACAACACTCTGCAACCCCTAACAACCACATAACTATTCTTCTCCTTATATGCCTTTGTAAAACTCATCAGAAGACAAAAGCAACTGGTTTTGGTAATCTCAAGAGATCGACAACTCCCCCAGTTCTACCAACCTCCTCTCTGATGCAATATGATATGGTCACTCACTTGTACAAACCTACAACAATATCCAGATTTGCATTACAACGCTGAAAAATAAAAACTAACTATTTTGAAGAGGAATTAATCATAGGGAAAGTAATATACCAAGCTGATCACACATACAGGACCAAAGAAAACAATGGCTCCAATAGAGATGCTCTAATCTATCAGCATAACCTGAACTAAGAAAAATGAGGCATGCATGATGCATCAGCAGCTAACTGAAAAATTCGGGTCTACCACTGCAGTAAAAGTCTATGATCATAAGATAGCACAATTTCAACGTCAGAAGTAAGAATCATGAACTGAAACTATTGGGGAGGGGAGAGCAAAAGGGCCCTTCTTCCTAGCCTGTAACTGTTCAAGCTCTTGCTCTATTCTGCATAATGACAGTTGCTCCTTGAGTAAAAAATCCTTTGGATTCTCACTTTTAGCTCTGGTAGCACCTTCCCTAACATGGAACTCTGCTGAACTACATTCATATGGAGTAAAATTAACTAATATTTTCTGATTAATGATCAAACTTAGAGTGTTATCAAGATTTCACATACAACAATGATAGGAGAGAAACATATCTCACCTGTAGAGCTTGGGATGCCTAGCCTAGTAGAAAACTTCATCTTCTGCAGCTGGTAGATCTTGTTGACCAATATTCGAGATGACACTTTGCAATGACTTGTGTGAACTCATATTTGAGATGATAAACTGTCGACCCATCAAACCTTGCCAAATGTTTCTCTTCTTACAGTGACCAGCTTCGATCCCATATGAGCTAGCCGCAAACGTCACTCAGTCTTGCTGCAGCCACGACTCTCTCCTTACCTCTCCCTCAGACTCACTCTCTCTAGTACTCATTGCGCCGGAGGTGTCTAAAATTAACACCATCCATTAAGCGGAGAAGAAAAGAAAATTAATCCAAGGTGTTGGCTCACTCAACCTTAGCAATTAAAGGTGTCCCACTGTCCCTTGAGAGAGATGAGAAATCTGAGGTCGCCAAAACCTCATTCTTGAAGGAGTACTGGAAGAAGGAAAGGGCAAGGTAATGTATTTTGCTCCATTGGCAGAGAAAAGAAAAGTACAGGGTAGTATGACTGAATCGCCTTTGACTCCTAATGTTGACCTCAACTTGATAAATGGTTTGCAAGAGTAGAGCTAAGAACACTCTGTATCCTATAATGGCATCGCCATCGTCTCCCGCCAGCGTGCCATTCAGTGGGTTCAAGGAGGTGAGAGAGAGGCTAATCGGTTGTTGACTCACCTAACCTAGCAATCAATGGTCCCCAAAGATGGGAAATTCTGGCGTCGCCACCATATCCTGCTGGCGAGCCATTCAACGGATTCGCGGAGGTGACAGGAAAATTGGGTATCATTCAACGGATTCGTGCAGCGTGAGAGAGATGGAAAATCTGGTGTCCCCACCGTCTCCCACCGGCGTGCCATTCAACGGGTTCAGGGAGGAGAGAGAGAGAGGGGAAATCTGGTTGTGGACTTACCTGATCAAGCAATCAATGGTTCCCCGTGAGAGAGGGGAAATCTGGCGCAGCCGCCGTCTCCCACCGGCGCTCCATTGTTCACCGGGTGAGAGAGGGGAGATTGGGTATAGTTCGTCGGTGTGTTTTTTTCGCCTGAGCGGAGGAGAAGTGGTAGAGTATATGTCGCCGCTGCCGTTGTTCGAATGCGTGCCGCTGCCGTTGTTCTTTCTTCGATTGGAATGGATGAGGGAAGAGGGGGCTGACGGAAAGAGGGAAGAGGAGGATATGATTTTCGTACGGGGAGAGAACAGGGGTGGGTGGAAGGAGGAGAGAGAGGAGGAAATTTGATGAAGGAGAGAGTATCAGGTGCATGCGGCCCATTGTGAGCTCATGCTTTTAAAAACTAAACATCCCTTCTATAGTCAAGTTTGGCCCGCCCAACATAAAGTACACATGAGCTCACGTGTATTAGACCGCAGGAAATCTCGCACCCTACTCGTGAACAGTAACCACGCGATTATTTCGTAATGAACAGTACTTTTCGATATTTGGTATTTTTTGGCTGCTTGTGTTTTAATAATAATAATAATAATTATTATTATTATATTTGAGAAGCGGTCACATGGATTGTGCAAAAATCCAAAAGCGGAACAAAACAGAGCAATATGCAGGAGACAGATACCCTACAGAAAGGCGAATGGTATGGCCTAATTAATTAATTAATAATATATATGCATGCAGTACAAGTAGAACCAGCTAGCTAGCTGAGCCTGAAAACAAATTCTGACAAGTCAACGTTGACCTCATGCATGGTGGAGACAAAAGTCTCCCTGCTGGTTGACCTTATTCCTTTCTATCACCTCCTCCATCCCCACTTCCAGCCAAATCAACATTTGTACTATTTGTCACTCTGCACCCTTCCTAGCTCCAATACTTCAATCTCTCTCTCCAGCGATGGGCGATGAAGAGGCAGATGGGATTCTTCATAATTTCATGCGCGCATATGCGTGCAAGGATTGAAGTCACCATCTGTCCCGATTTGCAAAAGTCAAAGCCCTCGGCCGATAAATGCCAGATTCAGAGATCAAGCCAAACAACACCTACGTACGTGGCTGCAGGCAGTGCTCAAAATATACAAAACTCCCACCCCTTCCCTCGATATAAGCCTCAATTTGTGTATACTTTAATTTTCCGAATACTTTACCTTAATTAATTTACCGAATACGTAGCTACAGCTAGCTTTGACAGTTTACACTATCTTATTATGTCTTTACTATTCCTACAATTTACAAATTGCATTCTCTTGCTGACTAATGTAGTGAAAGATAGCAGTTAATTAAGATGTTGCTGGTGAATTTCAATCAAGGAAACAAATAATGTATGTTGAGTATAGTTTGTATGGTACCTACCTACCTACTTGCCAGCGAAATTGAACGATGTTGTCATTGGCGTAGCGAGAGATATAATTTAGTGGGGTCCAAATAAAACTAAATACAATGTTTGCCTCAATAGTAAATTCATTGTCTTGCGAAGAGGGGGTCCGTAGTTCTAAATTTACTAATCACACCTTAAAAATCCACCATTTTTAATGTATATTCATTTTTCAAGTGGGGTCCATGGACCCCACATCCCCTCACCTAGCTCCGCCAATGGATGTTGTGTACGTATATGTTCGTAATATCTCCAACTTCCTTTTAAATTTTGATTTCGATACTGTTTTTTCGCTCATTTATTGAAAGGTTTGTGTAGATATATAGTTCCATTTTCATTATTCACTACTTTTTTTTTCTAACGATAAGACACTAATTATATAACTTCATCAATTAGTTTAGTGATTTTTTTGAAATTAAATAGTTTGGACAAGAAACCTCCATGATGTCGAAGATGGATCGGATAATTTTGGTAAGAACCGAAATTGACATGTCGGAACGGGCCTTCTGCGACTTTAGCGAATTCTGATGTTATGAATAGTTGTGGAGGACATCATTCAGACTGGTCCCAGTTTCAAATATGAGTCTCACCAAGCTCCTTGCTCTTTGTGATTCTCTCCGTTGGTGTTTGGCTCACTCTTTTTCTCGTGTCTTGTTTTGCGGTGATCTACATGTGAATTTTCGGGTGATCATCAACTCGAGAGATTCGTCGCATCAGGTGTTACGGGCCCATCTTTCCAACATGCTTTGTTCCACTTCAAGCCTCTAAGGTACAACAGGTTGCCCATATCAAGGCAGAACAAGCCCTAGGATCGTTAGTTCAGGCACTTGTTGACCAATATGTTCTCCTTCTTTTCGTTTTATAGTAAGAACTACAAAGGTCATTAGAAAAGAGTTATGTAATAGTTTTGTTTAATTGATGATACATAAAAATAAGTAGTCATCCATAATTTTTATATAACTGATATAGAATGATGCTAAATACATACATCTTGTATAATATATATTTTAATAACAAAATAAAATTATAGAAAGTATGACATCGATTCAATCCCCCATAAAAAGAAATTCAACTATCTATAAATTATCACAATATATATTTTTGTTTCGTTCTGTATGTATAAGATGTCGATATATATATCAAATATATGAATCATGTCCTTAATTCAGAAAAAAAAAAAAAACTTGAGAGATATTGCATGTGTAGGTAGTCAGACACGGGGCGGCGCGTCATGATGGATCAATCACATGCTAGAGCGAGAGGTAGAGGTCGTGGTGTTGGCATGAATGAAAGTAAATATGTGCTGCACAGAGCTCGCTATCTCTTCCGCCGTGAACCTCACCTCACTTTCAACCTATACCCACAGATCGACCACATGCAGTAGGGCTGATTAATTAAGATGATCCAGAGAAGACAAGGTTAATTAAAGATGATAATTAATTAATTAAAGAAGGTAGGTACCTTGACATTGAAGGAATAGAGCACCGTTTGCTCGATGGTGGTGATGTTGGTGTGGAGGATGTTGAGGTGCAGATCCTCCATCGCCGCAATCGCCTTGATCAGCTGGCCGGGCCGCCTCCTGGACAGCACCTTAATCATGGCGTCCAACCCCAACACCTTCACCTCCACGTCAGCCAAGCACGACTTGTTCTCCGCCGTCTCCTCCCTCACTACAAATCCCGAGGAGGAGGAGGAAGGGTCGAAGCACACCAACGCGGCCGCGGCCTCATCGTCGTCGTCATGACCATGTGTGGAAGGAAAGAAGCTGGGTGATGATGGCTGGTGCTGGACTTGCAGTTGGTGATGGTGAATGGAATTGCTGTCAGCTCCGATATTCGCAGCAGCAGCAGCAGCAGCAGCAGCAGCAGCAGCTGGTCCTGCTCCTTCCCCGTACAGCCTCCTCCTCTTCTGTGATTCCAAGCACTGCAGGAGCTGCTCCAGTTCCCTCACGAACTCTATTGCTCCTCCAATTATCGACGCTTGATCTCCCTGCACTCACTCACACGTAAGTACGTACATTAATCCATCGTTAATTATAATAGTTTGTTAGAGTAGTGAGTGGACATGTAAGTAAGAAAGAAAGAAATTTAGGAAATGAGTAGGGACCCGTTGGACGTAGGAACCGGGCATGAGGGAGCGGAGGACTCGGAGGTGCTCGTTCATCTGCTTCCGGCGGTTCCTCTCCACGGCGATGTGAGTCATGCGCTGGCTCTCCACCTCCTCGCTCGTCTTTATACTCCTCGGCGCCCGCTTCCTCTTGTTGTTGTTGTTGTTGTTCTTCGCCGCCGCCGCTGCTCCTTCCGGAACACTACTTATTGTACCACCCGCTTGTTGATCATTATTAACGAACTGCAGCAGCTGCCCCTCCGACGCCTCGGCCTTGTTGCTACCCCAAACCCTAGTCGTATCGCCATCAAACCTTATCATCTGAGGAGGAGCTTCTGACGAAGACGACGACATCATCTTCATCATTAGTTGTTGCTGTTGACGACGTTCATCGACTTCTTGTTCTTCTTCTTCTTCTTCGTTGTGATTAGTGTTGGTAATTATCCGGTCGTTGAGAACCGGGAACTTGAGGAAGTAGACGGGATCCTCCATGCTGTTCACGGGCAGCTTGGGGCGCCCGAAATCCGCCAACTGCATGACGTCGGCGAAGCTCATCAGCTTCTCCAAACCCGATGGTGATGATGACATGGATTGGTTGTGGTTGTGGTTGTGGTTGTGGTTGTGGAGGAGGAAACGCTGATCCATGCTGCTGCAGCTATTGCTATTGTTGTTGTTCATGTCCTCATCATGACCTTGTTCTCCCGTGGGAGGGTGCAGGGAAGTAGTGTAGTCCTGCAGGTCCTGGAGGAACAAAAAATCATGCCTCATCATCATCGTCAATTATATTGGTGCTCACAATGATACAGATACATGTTTGGGTGAGACCCAGAGACAGAGGAAGGAAGCTAGCTAGCAGAGGATATGGTGGCCGAGATGGACAAGATATGTATGTATGTATATATACCGAGTAGTTATCCATATGATCGAGACTGCTGACAGTGCTAGCTGGCTAGCTAGAGATGTGCAAAAGATGACAAAATTAAATCCCTCTTTGAGTTACGTTTGTGATAGATAGATAGATAGATGAACTTTCTTTCCTGCTGCACCTCAGAGCTAGCTTCTCCTACTGGGACTGGGAGGGGGGGTCCTCCACCTGCAAATTAAATTAAGGACAAGAGAAACAAACAGCAATTTACAAAGTGGCACATATATTTATTTAGCACCATCCATCACAACTACAACTAGTACAGTAAAACTGAGAATTTACATGCGGAAAACCCAAACAGATGAACGCTACGAATTGAATTGTCTTACACAATATAGACCAATCTGCAGTGTATTGGGATTTGGGAAACAAAGGGTTGTCACAAATTTTGTTTCTTTGGTGCTGTTTTTGTTTGGATGGATGCAAGATGAAGCAAGCTAGCAAAAGGAAATCGCTGCCTCTGGAAATCGCTGTTTTTGTGAGTATATATATATATATTATACTAGAGTATGAGAGCTCCAAGGAGGAGGAGGAGGAGCCTGCAATCGCATGCAGTGGAGTAATGACGCGCGCGCGTCCTCAGTTTCACCACATTCACCTTCAGCTATAGAGCTAGTTAGTTAGTTGGTTTCCAGAAAGCAGCCATCTGATTATTTATGTGAATCACAGGCCGCTAAGCTAACCCCCAACGCCGCTTTTCATGACTCCAATTAAAGGCAACCCAGCTGCCTGATTACCGTGACTGACTGATCCATCTTCGGCTTCTACTTTTGAATTCCAAAATTTTGGGAGGTGAATGTCATCATCTGTGTTTTGATTTTTTTGGGCCTGTACGTCGTTACCCCGCCGCGCGGCTTAACTCAACTTTCACATGTGAATGGCCCATTTAATTCCATGGATCTCGCTTGGGTTTGAGGTCTGATTTAATGTTACCAGCCCATTCTATGTATATCCACATGTGACTTTTCTTACTTTTCTCCATCTTCTTCCCGCACTCTATAGATATCACTAGCCATGGGCTAGGCCAATTGGCCGGATTTATTAACCAATCGTATAAACATTAATAGTAATTTGTATGAGAGATATACGTTTTTTTATAGTTTAAGAAATTTATTTTTTTCAAACACTCGAAACATTAATAACCAACTTCTAAAATCATTTTGAAATAACCTTTTTATTTACTACTCATCGTCAAAGATTACTGCACATATACTTTTCGACTTGTTTGCATTTTCTCCACCATGAGCAACATCATAATATCCACCGATCATTGGGTTCATCTTAAGTAATGACACATTTATCTCCATTGCCAATTGTCATTTCCTTCTTCTCTTTCTTTTTTCATACTTCCTTCTTTTCTTGCATTTCAATAATCTTTTTCTTGTTTTCCTGCAGTTCTTTGAGCGCGAAAATTTTAATGATGAATTACTTAGAAAGATTAATAATCTTTTCACTGGAGTAGAATTTACATTGTCCAAATTATGAACAATATCCATGATTTGTTCTTTCTCCCCATCGCCAGTACTTGTGTCTTTCTCATGAACAATGTCTTCCTTCTTCTCAACATTATCATCTGTAGCCTCAGATCCAGTACCTCCACTATTAACAGTCTCATTCTTGTTCACTTCTATTAACATTATGAGTATATATTATTGACAATTAAAACGCAACATATGATGTGGTTTTATTGAATCATAACTTTTTAAAATTATACATTTGAGTAAAATTTGGAGTCGGATACGATTTCTTCCATGTTAGTGAGGTAGAAAGCAAAGTATTACTGGAGTTTTAAGTTATAAACACATGCTTATGTGTACAAATTAAATAATACAACTAAGTGTCATTTGTGCATGCATGAATTAGAAACTAAAGATATATATTTCTGCATGGTATAAAACTGAAGACGTATACACTTGATAATACAATCAAGTATACAATTGCATGCATGTTGGTGAGAAATAGAGTAAAGCTTCAATGGAGTTTTAAGTTGTACAATTAAATGCATTTCTCTAGATATTAAAGAATACCACTAAGTATCATCTGTGCATGATCTAAAAGTTGATAGCTCTAAAAATTAAAACATATACATATGATAATACAACTAAGTATAATTTACGCATGGTATACCCTTGATAGCAGTTAAATTGGTGAATTGCTCAGTTAATTGCATTACAAAATCCACATGTGAGAAGTTGAAAGGCTAGAAAGATTAATTAAATAATAATTAGAGGGTGCATGTTTCAAATATACTCCAAATTCTATCGAGAATAGTACAATCTTGTAATTAATATTGATCATCCTTTTCAAGCAAGTAGAATTTATCCATATTTCTCCATAAAATAACAAGAAATCCAACTTTCAACCTAATAAAATAGTTTGGGAAATTTTTAATCTTCAATATATTGAGAAAATCCACAAAATAATCTTATAGGATAATGGCTACCTACAGGATCAACTTCAATGTAATCTGAACTATGATAACAAACTGCATCTCCTCGAAACCTTTCCATTATATAATTATTAATTGTCAACACTATTTCATGAGGTGGAGCTAATATAGCACGATGAACCAAAAAAGTTACTTCACTGAAATTACAATCGAGATCACCATACACATGATTCACAATACCAGCAACAACAATGTCATCTCCTTCATGTGGAATGCTCAAAGAAGTTTAAAATTGATATCATTGACTCCCCAAAAATTTTGAGGCCACTCGATCACCTATATGCAAAATCTATTTGCTCAATTCTTCAATCTAAATAGTTTTTTCAAGCCCACAATTTTCGGTTGCAAAATATTATGCGTAGGACCCATAGGAGCTTTATCACAAATAATAAGAGCATCATTCTGAATCAACTCTGTTAAATCGCTTCTTTGCCCGGCCAACCATTAGGTTGTCCTCAACCCGTAGGCTAAAAATGTACAAATGCAATTTTAGCCCAAAATTTCCTTCAACCATGGGGCGGGGAGGGGGGAGGGGGGGGGGGGCTAAATGGCTATATTGGATTTTTGGGGGGTAAAATGACTCTACTTTGAGTGGAGGGCAAATATGGTGGGGACCAAATGCTGAAAAATTATCTTCTTCCTTTTTAAATTGTTTTGTTTTGTTTTATATTATTAGTTGTGTTGTGTTGTTTTTAACTATTTCGATTGAAATTTCGACCGTTCAAAGTCTATTTGAAGACAAAAAAAAAACACTCAAACAAACTCAAACTTTAAACACACTTAAAGAAACTCATTTTGTTGTAACTTTCGACCGTTCGATTCTATTTGAAGACAGAAAAATATATTAAAAATTTGTAACGTTCTTCCATTTCACCTAAAATAAAAGTATCTTCAAATTTGTTCAAATTCTTGATACTTTTGATAGACAAAGTTTATTCCTGTGTAACTTTTGTCCATTTCAATTAAAACAAAAGTATCTCGGAAATAACTCAAATTTTATCAGAATGTTCTATCGAATTATCATGAACAAATATACAAAATTTAAATTAGAAAACATAAGTTTAACTATTAATAAGTTAGGATTACTAAATACAAAACATCAAATTATAGCCCCTGAGTTGCAACTATTTATGTTTTCGAGGGGGCTAAAAGGCCATTTTACCCGTTAGACCCCAATTTTTTGGCCCCTAGGTTGTGGTTAGCTTTAGAGTCACTATCAATTGGAATGTGGAATCGAGAATGAACAATTATACCTCCAACCATTAGCAAAGCTACAATACCAAAAGAAGTAATACACAACACTATTTTCTTTTTTGCTCATAGTTTCAAACAAATAACCTTACAAATAAATGCTTTTCTTGTATCTCCAAATTTATCAACAAAGAAGTAGTTTTCATTTTCTCCCTTCACAACTTGAACAATTTCATTGAGTACATTCCTCCGTCCTGAATTCAATTTTGGATAAAAATTTATAGAATTCCTTCATTAAATCTTCTAGATTGTAATTTACTCCCTCAACAATCATTCAATTTTGAGAATTTAATCTCATAGTTGCAAATGGAATAAAGAAACCTGAAAAATCATCTAAAGAATTCCAATATTTCTGCAATAACTTATATATCCCCATTTGAACATAGATCTTTGATCTCATCAGTAGAAGCCTACAAATGGGGATATTTTAACTCCCATCTTCGATTGAACATGATATCATCACTCAATAATTCTAAAAAAAAAATTCACAAAGATTGCACATCATATACTTGGTAGTGAATTAAAATTGTGAGAAACATATTCCTTACTTTATATTCAGAACCTCTAAAGGCAACTTCCTTCAAGGAGTCACAACAGTCATCATCTTCTGCCAATAACCTAACAAGCTTTTTGAGAAGACTCATGAACGACACCATTAATTGTTCTAATTTCTTCATAAGCAAATAATCAAAATCGCGCTTTAAAACTTAAAAGTTTACGGTTTTACGTTTCTAAGTCACCAAAACTGCTTTCGTTTCCATATAAAATCGGGCTAAATTGCGCTTTAAAGCTTAAAATCGTACGCTTTTACGCTTCTAGTTCACCAAAACGCTTTACGCTTCTAATTCACTAAATGGGTATTCTTTTCATGAAATTAATCATAAAAAGTATATTTTAAAGGGAAATTGCCAATAATATGATACATTTGATATTAAAATATACATACCATGTATATGCCGTACTTAGGGGTAAAATACCTCGGATACCATTTAAGTTTCAGAATTGGGGTAGGCATACCACTTAAGTTTGAATAGAGCGTCGGTACCACTGAACTCTATTATTTGTGCACCCGTTACCACTGGAGTTGCATGCGCAAGAAGAAGGTGCTCACGTGGTCTTCTGGGTCGGTCGTGCCGTTGTATGTTGGGAGGGTGGGTGGCGCTCCGCTTAGGTTCTCCGCCATTATTTGCGCGCTCAGTGGCTGGTGGAGGACCCTTTTAGGCGGGTTGGGTCGATATTGCGGAGATAAGTGTTGCTCTAAAAAGCTGAGGTCCGCCCGCCCTGGTAGCTCGACTCCCTGCGTTTCGCACGCGGGGAGTTCCGTTGGCGCGTGTTGGGGTAGTTGGGCTGTCCCCGACGCTTCTCCCAAGGCTTGTTGAGGCGCGACCGCTGTCGCGTCTATCGTTGGCGCGCCCTCCCTGCTCAACATGAGCGCGATGACTTGGCTCATTTGTTTCTGCATGTCGGCTATGACGTTGTTTTGCTTCGTCAACAGCTCCCTCATTTCTTTGGCTGTCAGCTCGGGCTCCTCTTCTTCGATGAGCACCGCGTTGAGGTTGCTGGCTTCCGCGAACGCCCTTGGGTCGGTCATTGCCTTGATTGGCGTCGCTTGGTCAGGTTGGTCGTGGTTGCGCTCTACCATTGGTGGGTTTTCTTCAGCGTTTCTTCTTGGCCCCACGGTGGGCGCCAATTGTTTGAACCTAACTGAGTGTAGGA